TAAGCAGCAAAGCATTATTTTGTTTTTTTAATTTTTTCATTGCTATTTATTTGCAAACAAAACAAAGCAAAGCACATAATTAGCAAACAGCAAATGTAAAACACTCACATGAATTATTTATATTCGTTTTAATTCCATGATTATTATTATTATTATTATTTGCATCTAAATTATCATGTCCATTAATGAATTTCTTTTTTGTTACATGTAAATCATCATCATCATCATCAAATGTTCGATACATTTCAGCTTCGGAAGCTGTACAAGTTGATACTGAACGATCAATATCTGAACATGTATCAAGCCATGTATCAACATCATGTCCTTCGGAGTTTAATTCAGTTTTAAGTACACCCAGACGTCGTTGTAATTCAATATTATTCGATGTTAATATGGCTATTTCTTGTTCATATTCACGTTCTTTTCGTGTTAAAGCCTAATAGAAAATAATAAAATCTTATTTTCTTTCTTTTACAAGTAAATAAACAAGGATTTTACTTGAATATATTTAATAGCCATATTAAGTACTTGAAGATTTGTTATTTTTCGATCTCGTTGACATGGTACTTCGGCTTTGAGTGTATCAAAGCAATCTTTCAGATGAGCTCGTCTAAAAACAAAAAAAAAAAACAAAATGAAAAATTGAATTTTACTATTTTTTTTTTTTCTATTGGAAAAGTACCTTCGAGCTTCTTTTGGAGATACCATCAAGGAAAAAAAAGATAGTGATAATACAATTTTTACTTTACTATTCAATACACCTGACTATAGCTAACCAATAAAAAATGTATCAAGTGTTTTACTTTTACGTTGTTTTTTTTTTTTATTTATTTTGAAACTTTAGAAGGATTTTTGAATTGAAGGGGATTTTTTTTATTTTATTGCTGATAAGAATAGATGTCGCAACTTACCGATGTTTTTCTAATTGATTATGAATTTCACGATCACGCAAACATGCTGTTTGACCACTAAAAAGAATTTTTTTTTTTTTGTAAGAAATAAAAAAATTTATAGATCAGAAAATATTACCGATTAGATATTTCATTTTTTCTATCAATATTTTGATCAATATCATCATCATCATCATCTTCATCATCATTTTGATCGGATTTCAAATGTTGTTGAGATGAATAAGATTGTTGTTGAATTGAATGATTAAGATGATGTACATTAAGATTAAGATCAAGTTGAGGACATTCTGTAAGACTTTCATCTTTGATTAATGATAATGTTGGTGGTATTATTGTTGAATTTATATTTATTGTTGTTGATGAAAGAATACTTGTTGGAATAGAATTATTATTATTATTATTATTGTTATTAGGAGTTTGACGATCGCCTAAAAATTTTTTATTCAAAAAAAATAAAATAAAATTATAGAATATAAATGACATACTCCACCACATTATTAAAAAACACACATACACTCGTTAAGATAATGATAAGAGTAAGTATGTGTGTATATGCTGTGACGATTCTATCTCTTCTTTCAAATCACTCACTATATATATGGACGACTGTCTGTCCGTCTCAATAAGTAAGTCGTCAGGCAGACGATGACGAAAAAGAAGAACAAGAAAAAAGAAAAAGGAAATGAATATGACACGCACATGCATATATATATCTTTTCTTGTCAATGGAAGATTTATATACATACAATAGGATATATATTTTATATTACTATTTCAGAATATATTTTTAAAAAAAGATCTGATGTTTATAGTTTTCTTCTCAATAGATATAATCTTTTCATACATTTTACTCGAATAAAAAAAATTGAAAAATTTTATTATCAAATTAAACACTCACTTTGGAACCATATCAATTCAGATTGCATATCTATTAATATTGCAAGACCAAAAAACGAAAGCAATAAATTGGAGTCTTCTTATATCAAAAAAAAGTAATTGACGAAAAGAAAAAACGATTGAATTGAATGCTCGTATCGACGCACGTCACACATGAGCGAATTTTCCTGCTTTTACTATTACCGCTACATTATGCTACGACTACGAATGATGATGATTATAGTCGTATGGTCGATCGAGTGTGTCATCACAAAAACAAAATAAAAATATAAACACATGGGCTCTTCAAGACGAATATGAGCTACCTGGCTCAATCAACCTTAACGAAACGAGAAAACAAGGACAATTTCTTATTCTAGTTTAAAATAATCAAAGAAAATCTCTTTTTCTTTTGTTTAAATTTTATTTAATATACTTAAAAAGAAATATGATGTAAAAATAGTATTTTTCATAGCTATTTTTTCTATCTACATATGTTTACATGAATTGATTGTTAGCCACGTGCATATTTCATTCATTCATTATACACGTGGGATTCTCTATGTCTTATGATCCTTCTAACACGCGAGAAGAAAAAAAAGTTGAGACTAAATGAGTCACACTCACCTCTGACTAGCCGTTTTTTGGGTGGTATTGATTGTTGACTTTCCAAAATTTGTGCAGCTTGTAGCAATGTTTCAATATTCATCATCGATATGATTATTTTATATGTATATAAATATATATATGTATATATAGTATTATTTCGAAACGATTTTCTTTTCTTTTTTCAAAGATATCAAATGATAATAATAACGATGGATGAATAGATGATGTTGGTTAAGGAGAAAGAGAAAAAAAACATACACAAACACAGAAAACAAAACGTAATCAAACTATATTGTATTGAAAATTGAATGAAAAATTATTGATGTCGTTGTTATTTCTACTTTTGTTGCTGCTATTACCACTGCTGCCATTCGATTCTTTCAGCTGCGTAAAGCATGTAGTTGTCGACTGTCGATCGGTCGTGCGGCGCTCATGATGTTGGCATTGTAGAAGAAGAAAAAAAGAGAAGAAAAAGAAGAAAAACGTGGGCATAGGCCATGCAAACACACACACACAAACACGAAAGAGAAAGAAGAAGAAAAACGCGAGACGACGCCAACAAGCAATGAGGAAAGCGACAGAGAGAGAGAGAGATGAGGGCATAAAAATACAAATGATGATTTGCGTATGTGTGTGTGTCTGTGTGCTCGAGAGCCAAAAGAAGGAGGAAAAAAACGTCGATACAACGACACACAAAAGCCACGAAACAGTGTGCGTGTCAAACAAAAAAAAAAAGATGTAAGAGAAGAAAGAAAAGAAAAGAAAGTGAATATAGATGTGTATGCAACTAAAGAACAAATTTACACGTGTGTAGTGTTTGCACCAGTTATGCTCTTTTTTTCTTCGTTATTATTCGACTCTCAAACGTTTGAGAAGTGCGAGTAGAAGTTACTCGTGTTTTATATTTATATATATATATATATACGTGTGTGTGTGTGAGCGATATAAAGAATTGCATAAAATTGAGAGCGAAAGGGAACAACAACAACAAACATATGGAATGTAAAAATACAATAGAAGCACGAGAGTTTTGCATATTCTTTTTTCCTTTTTCTTTTGTGTACCTAATTGACGGTAAAACTCGACTCAGTTTTATGCCATACGTTTCTAGACACTCGTAAAATTGATCGGCAATTAACTTTTTCCTTAACCATTGACAACAGTATAAACCTTCAACAATCGACTCATTACCATTATAAAAAATAGCCTTTTTATTTTTTTTTCTTAGATTTCCATAGAAATTTGTCATACGCTCGTACTAAATGAAGGACAGCCTCAGGATTCTTCTATTTTCTACTTATATAGTCATTGTTTTTTTTTGTCTTATACTAAACATAGTTACACCTTATGTCAGCATAAGAAAATCTTACTCTAACATCATGTCATTTTATGTCTAAATGAATAAATAAGAAAAAAAATAATGAGTTTTTCTTCCATATTTATATAATACTATTTATATCTGATAGTTTTCTTGCTAGTATTATCTAAGATTTTATTGTTAATAACAATAATATTAATAGTGACAAAGAAAAAATATGAATATAATTGAGAATAATAAATCTTTATTAAAGATAGATTCATATATCAATAATTTTATTTTTTTCTCAAAATTAAGTTATTTTTATAAAATATTCAATACTAATATAATATCTTAGCTGATTTTCTACTCTATAATAAATAAATATTTATAGGTACCTTTAAAACATCATGTATTAAAGATATATTTTCCTTAATTTTTCTTTTTATAACATAATACTTATCTCATATGTAGCATATAAAAAGAAACAAATTTCAAGGATTCAATAATATATTCATAGATAAGATAGTACTCTTTCAAATTAAAGAGTAAACTGTGTCTAAAAGCTTTTATTTAACTCAAACAGCTGTGGTATATATTTCAAAGGTTTTTTTTTTCTACATGTCATTTCATGTTAGAAACCATCAGATCGAAAAATTTTGAATACGAATTCGAATCATACTTCTAATTTCAACGAAATTTTTTAATCTGAATCTTCAAGTCACTCTGAACATGTAAGATACTTTCTATTGATTATGTGTATTCTACTAATAACATATTCTACACATTTCTTAGACAATTGTGATAATGATTTTTTTTGTTGTATTTAGAATATAAATTGTTAGGTTGATCATTGTTTCTAACTCGATCAAGTATGGAACGAACCCTACAATTTGTACTCTATGCTCTTTGTTAATCGACTTAGAAAAATCTATTTATATAAAGTCAAAGTATTATTTATGACCTTCGATATATATATATTAATAACAAAGACAAGATTTTGCACCATAAGGTTATATATTTTTTCTTTCTTTCATTATTAGGTTTATTGAATGAAACATGTCTTCTGATGAATAATATTTATTAAAAAAGAAAAGCGAAAAGAACAAGAAAATCATATATCAGTATTTAGAAAATAAAATCAAAGTGTACTGTACTTATTTTTATTATTACTGTTTTTTTTTTCTTTTACATTCTTATAAATAATAGTAAAATTATGTTCATATAAAAAATAAACTAAAAATCTGACAAAAAACATTCACCATACGAAAAAAATCAACTGTTTTCATTTTGTCTAACATACATATTTATTGTTCTAATTCTTTTTTCCATTTTCGAGGATGACGTTGAATAAAACGAGCATTTGAATTAATTATTAAAATATAATTTTCATCCATTAAAACCCATTGTCCATTTTGTCCATATGGTTGAAGCATAAGTAATGGATATTCTGAAGCCATACGTATTGATTCTCCTGAATAAAGTTTTTGCATTCGTCGATCAAATAAATCAATGCGCCATTTACGATGATGTTTTAATCGTATAAGTAATGCAATGATACCCATCGATGGATGTGCTCGGATTAGTTGGATAAATTTATCTGTACTGTATACATCAATTAGATCTGTACGTGACCAAGATCGAGATAATGTCCATGATGGTAAACAGTAACGATAGAGAGCATCATGTCGACAAAGAATATACGTCTCATGACCAAGAACAGTGAATGACCAAAAACGATCGTATATAGATGTAGAATTAAATTGAATTATTAATTGATTAGATTCGACAGAATAAGAACATACAACTTCATCACCTAATATTAAAAATGAATTTATAGATTTTGACCAACAAATATCTCGAATAGTCCCATAGGTATCACTAGGCCAAATAATATCATGTTGTTTTGATGTTGATAATGTGAGATCAAATAGATGAAGTTGATCAGTACCACTATTTAGTAGAAGTAAACAAGTATCAGATATCGCTAAGCATGACGCAGTATCAATCTAAATTAGATAAAAACATAAATGATGATATGTTGAATAAAAATAAAAAAAACTAACTTCAGACGGAATATTATGATTCAATGAACAGCATGTCAATTCATATTCATTTGTATCTGTCAGACATAGTCGCATAACTACAGTATATTCTATAAAAGCCTGCAAGATAGTTTTGTTTATATCAAAATAATGTATGTCTTTTGATTCTTTATCAAAGACATGGATAAGTATATTTGTCTTGTGACAAAGTAAAAAATCTTGACGTCATCTAGAAGTTTCCTTTAGAATTCAATGAAAACTAGGAATTATTAAGAAAGCTGGTTTTTTGATCGGTTATATTTTTTTGTTAATAAAAGAAAAACATTAGACGCTCATGCGTTTTGTTTTATGTGTTGTGTGTCAACCTGTAGTTCGAAAAAGAGTTGGGAAAAAAGCACACAGCACACAGTTGCCTAGAAAAAGAAAACCAAGTGACTAATACATCGTATAACAAGAATAACAAGAATAACAACAAGAGTCAATGTCATTCTTTGATTTATATTTATCCCATATTCATTGCTTTGGCAGCGTTCGATGGTTCAGCCGATGATTTTGGTACTTTAATTGTTTCATCAACACTTAAAATTAAACAAGCAGCTTCACTTGCTGCTGTTATTGCATTAATTTTAACAACAGCTGGTTCCCAAACAGCTGCAGTAAAATTATCACTAACATCTTCGTGCATGATATCAACACCAAACCAAATATGATCTATAAAAGACAAAAGAATAAAGATCTCATAACATAAATCAAATCAAATAAAATCGTTTTTTTTTCTTTTTGTTTTGCTTTATTACTTTCAGCATGTTTTTGTCGAAGTTTATTTAAAATATTAGTTGCATCAAATCCAGCATTCTCACATAATTGTCTTGGTATAACTTCAAATGCTTTAGCATATGCAGCAATAATTAATTGTTCTTTACCAGGTACAGTTCGACTATAATCACGTAAAGTACGACTTAATGCCATTTCAATAGCACCACCACCGGCAACAATTGAATCATTTTTAACAGCACGTCGTACAATCATAATAGCATCATGTAATGAACGTTCAACTTCATCAATAAATTGTTCAGAACCACCACGTAAAATCATTGTTGCTGTTTTAGCTTTTGGACAACCAGTAAAAATATTATAACGATCAGAACCAATTTGCATTTCTTCAAATACTTCACATGTACCTAAAACTTGTTGAGATTGTTCATTAAGATTTTCAACTGTTGTTATTATTGCACCACCACATGCTTTTTGTGTACGTTTAAGATCATCTTCTTGTACACGACCAGCACAAAACATATCACTTTTGAGAAAAAAAAAACAAAGTATATGTAAAGAAAATTATTCAACAAAAAATTATTTACCGATCAGCAAAATATTGTGTTGCAACATCACCAATTGGTAATTTCGAAAGTACAACGTTAACACCAGCTGCATGAAGTTTTGCAAGTTTATCATAAAGAATTGACCATTCAGCATCAACAATTTTTTGATATTCCTTTAGAAATATTTTAAATCAAAAATAAAGAAAAAAAAAAACAAAAGGAAAATCTTACAGCAACATTATCAAGACGAATTTCAGCATTGTCACGTTCAGCTTTAAGTTCAAGTTCAATATTAAGTAAAGCTATTTTTGGTTTTAAAAATTTTTTATGTTGCATTTCAAAACCAGCATAAGAAAATGTTTTTTTAAATGCAACACCAGCAACAATACATGATTCCTAAAAATAAATAAAGAATTTCAAATGAAAAAAAAAAATGTTTTACATTATTCAATAAAATCCTCTACCTCAAGTGAACCACCTGTTACTTTTTTAATTCCAATCCTAACACAAACAAACAAATAAAATTGTTTTAAAGTAAATTTAAAACATACATATTTAATGGAAGTAATTCATCTAACATAAGTACAGCATCAACAACCATTTTTGCAAAAAATTCTCGTTGTCGTGCAATTAATTTAGAACTTAATGTTGTTTGAGCACATTTTTCAAGTAAAGATCGTTGTTGTCTAAAAATATAAAATAAAATAAAATTTGTTAGTGTAATCTTTCGAAGAAATTGAAATGTAAAACATGATATAGCTGAATTTGCTAGTTATTTTGAGGTACATCTCTTCATTATCCTTCCTAAATACAATAAGCCAATAGATCATAGTTTTAAACCAAATATTCATGCTTTGTTACATATTGTGTTCTAAAAGTTTCACTCATAAAAAGTGTAAATTTGTTTAAAAAACTGTCAATGTGTTCCGTACGACATATTTTTGTCAATATTTTTTCTTAAAAATATAAACTATATCAATACTATTTCAAATAGTATTAAGAAAAGTATGTAGACATTCTCAGCATACTTCTTTCTCTAGTTAAAATCTTATAATTATCTTGCTATTTCAATACTTCTTTTATATCGATTTTCATTTACAAAAAAAAAAAAAACTTCATCCTTACTTAACATCATCCAATTTGATATTAACAGCAATTTCTTTTATTTTTTTTATTGCTAATGCTGTTGCTTTACGTACAGCACGAATAATAATTGTTGGATGCATTCCATCTTCAATAAATGTTTTCGTATTTTTTAATATTTCAGCTGTTAATAAAACAACTGATGTTGTACCATCACCAACTTCTGCATCTTGTGATTTAGCTATATCAACAAGTGTACGTGCTGCTGGATGAACAATTTCAAGTAATTTAAGAATTGTTGCACCATCATTAGATATTGTTGCTTTACCACGATTATCAACAATTAATTTATCCATACCACGTGGACCTAATGTTGTACGAATAGCTTCAGCAACAGCTTGACATGCACTTATATTTGATAATACTTGTGATTTTCCTTGTGATGAATCAGTACCTTCTTTAAGAATAATTATCATTGGTTGCATTTTTGATGATGATGATGAAAAAAATTCTTCTTTTCTTAATCTGCAAAAAAGAAAAGAAGAAAACCTGTAATTTCTAAATCATACTCTGATTATCTTTTTTTTTTTTATTTGGCCACACTATCTATATTGAAAGACTGTTCAAGCAAATAATTTTACAAAACAAGGATGACAATAGGGTTTATTTTGATATTCTTTAAATGTACCATTTTGTAATTGTCGTGTACAATATGAACAAATAAAATGTTCAACATGATATTTTTTACCCATGGCTGTTATACAACGACCACTACAAAAAAAGAACAAAATAGAAAAATAAAAAATTTTCAAAAAACAAACCCAATTGGTTTTTGACAAGATGAACATAGTGAACCACGTCGTTGATGATAATGTAATTCACATAATGGTTGATGATCATGTTCATAAAATGAACCAGTTAAAAATGGTTGTGAACATTCCTAAATTTATTTAAAAAAAAAAAACAATTCCTATTAGATTGTGTCTGTCATTTGAAGTTTACTGATAGAGAAATAAAAAACATCAGAAAGGATTGAAATGAAATTATGAATAGTAAATTTATATCTATAATATTCTCAATACGGAAATGAATCTGTAAGAACATCAATTGCATCTTAGATATTTAATAGAGCGAAACAATTAACATTATCTACAATAATTTTAGCTAGAAGATATTTAGAACTCTACAAATCACATCAAATATATGTACCTCTTCGCATTCTTTTTATAGAGAGAGTCCTTTGCTCTTAAGCAAATGTTGTTCATTTGAGCAACACTATAGATAAGTTTGTTGACAGAATATTTCATCATTAAGTTATCTCTTGCTTTTTGTATCTGCTGACTGTGATATATATATAACTTTGAATCGTTAAATCAATTAATTATTTTCTTAAAATCGAATTAAAAATTGTTTTTCGACCAATGAAAAACAACAACTGAATAAAACTTTGTATTTCGATTGAAACCTATGAAATTCAAAATAGCGAAACAATTCTTAATGGTTCAGTTTTGTAGTGCACTATTTACTTTGCACAATAGATTTTACAATTTTTGTAATATTAAAATCAATTTTTAAAACAGCAAACAACATATTATCCAGCAATAGGAGCAGCAACTCCTCGCTTTTTTAAATATTTCATATTATACATTAGAACATCTTTCGAAATAGCGAAAAATCTGTGCTAAATCTTTCTCTCTCTCTCTCTCTCTAGATGAGATTACTGATATTTACTTGACAAACAAAACAATTTTTATGATAATGCCCACCAAGTGCTTGTATATATGTATCAACAATAACTTGTTTACAACCAAGACATTTTGGAACAAAATTATTCATATAACATTCTCTGAAGAAAAAAACGAATTTTTTTAATGTTCATTTTTCTTCATCAAATTAAACATACCGACAATAGGCATGTCCATCTTTTTCATGATAACCATCTTCACCAACTCGTCGTTCACATAATTCACATAGAAAATGTTCTGGATGCCAATTACGATTTAAAGCTGTAATCATTACCTTTAGAAAAAAAAAACAATTATTTAATTAGAATAAAAATAAACAATACTATTTACATCGATTATTGGTTGATCACAACGAGCACATTTCGGTGCAAATAAACGTCGATAATCATGTTCACAATATGGTTTACCAGATTTTTCATAAAAATCTCTTCGACCAATTTCAATATTACAAGCCGTACAACGTAAATGCTCAGGATGATATGAACGATCAAGTACTGTTATTATCTAGACGAACAAAAAAAAAAAATAATTACAATACTTTTCATAATAAAATGATTAGTAATAGCAATTGAGCATGTAGAATAAAAAAAAACCTGTCAACCATTACCAGAATAAATACCTAATAATTTCATTACTAGAAAAATATATTTTGATAGATAAGCAATATTCTTATATTTAAAACAAATAAAAAGCAAATGAATACCTGTCCAATGATTGGTTTTTGACATGAATGACAAATATGATATTGTTGTGGTAAAGATGATGATAATTGATCTGATGAAGGTGATAAATTTGATTGAACACGTACTGTTGATGTCTATTAATTTAAAAAAAATAAATAAATTTTTAAAGAAAATAATTTTTCTTCAATATATATTATACCTGTGGTGCAAGTTTAAAATTACTTAATGATTCCATAAGATCTTCTAATTCTTTAGCTGCTGTT